CTGGGACCCCTCACCTCAGGGCCCAATGTCTGCGCCAAACCTACCTCGGTCTGTTGAAAAAGGGAAAACACCATTTCGCGGGCACACTTTGGTTCATTAGGGTTCTGAAAACTCTATCGCACCTTTTTTTTAAAAAATATTTTTATTGATTTTTTACAGAGTGGAAGGGAGAGGGATAGAGAGTTAGAAACATCGATCAGCTGCCCCCTGCACACTCCCCACTGGGGATGTGCCCGCAACCAAGGTACATGCCCTGGGACCCTTGCGTCCGCAGGCCGACGCTCTATCCGCTGAGCCAAACCGGTCAGGGCTCTATCGCACCTTTTCAATAACACTAACATTTTGCACTTCGGCACGTGCATTATGACAAGTACAGGTCAGGGACACTGCTCACCGTGGAAGGCGCCTATTATTTTTCACTAAACTGCGTTTAGCAGACAAGGTTTCACGGGAGGCAGTGAAGATTCCTTTACAATGTTTCATGCCCCTTCGTTTATTTAGATTCCACACCCACAAGTAATAGTAATATTGGCCAACTTCTAGGTAGCTTTTACTCTGAAAGCACAAGTGCTTTTTACATCTATCATCTCCCCTACACCTCACAGCAACTCTAGAAATCAACTGTTATTACCCCTTTCTCAGAGGTGAGAAGCCTTCCGCACAGAGAGGGTGGGGGATTTGCTCCTGATGTGAACTTACCTTGGATAATATCCACGTTATAAGGTATACAAACTCTGGGCAGCGTTTTTTGGTTGGGTCTCTCGTTTTGCATGTATCTCCTTTAAATCCAGGCCTACCTCCCAGATGTTGAGCCTGTGTATGCACAGTTCTGTTGGCGTTTATTAATGAAATGCCCAAACCTTGCACTTCTCCCAGAAAATCGGCTGAAACTGGAAATGGGCTTTGTCAAGTGTCCCCACCTTTTAAAGACATAACTTTAGGGCTATCGCGGCCTCCTACCAAGGTACAGACTCAATAAAACAAGACAAGGGTCCACCCCGTGTCCTCACGCTTTGACAGGAACTTTTAATGCGCATTGAGGGTGAGGGTGCGGAAAGGATTTTCTCCAAATGGATTGATAAGCAATTTTTGCTCAAAAGGAGTAATTTCAGGAAAGAGGCCTAATTTGAGGGACGGGTAGGCCTTCGGACCAAATAGTTGTTTCTTGCGGAGCGGCAGGTTCTCCACTTTGGGTCGATTGAAGATAATAAAAACTTGTCCGTGCTGCTGGAGAAGAGGGGAGGGCACTCCCCGGACCACGGGGCACAAATCCCACCGCCGCTTTGGGCCGCAAGCTCGCTGGGCGCGGGATGTGAGGGAGCAGCTGTGTGGTTAGAGCCTGAGCTGCGAACCCCGGGCACATTTTCTTAGGCTGAGCGAGTTCCCCACGGCTTGGAGGTTTCTTGGAGGTTTCGGTTTGGGAAGACGCTGGTTTGGGGAATCCAGGCCTGACTCGGACTGGCAACTTTTTGCGGCCATCCCTGGCAAGTCAGCCTTGAGTTTCTGCCTCTCTCGGGTCTTTCTGGCTGCTTCTATTTTCCTCCTTCTTCCCCCTGAACCCCGCACCCCACCTGAGGGGAGGATGGAGGAGTACTTTCTCCATGAACTCTGGGGCTACCTAGGCACACTGCCTGTCTGAAACTTGTGCGCCCGGAGACGCGACAGGAAAACTTGCAGGGACATCTAGCGCCAGGCCTGGGGAACTGCGCGCCGCCGGTCCGGGAAGCGAAGCCTGACCGCTCGCCCCTTCTCCTCCCTCCCTGCGCCCCCCAACTCCACCTCACCCCGTGCCCCTTGGTCCTCAGGCATTTCCCTAACCTTCATCCCGTGGCGGTGCCGCTGACCACACCACACGTGCATTTCTGGTAGAGACAGCGGAATGGGGGGGGGGGGGGGGGGGGGGGGGGGGATGAT